AGTGGGAAGACTTAACTCCTACACTATTGTGACAATAAACTACTATATTGTAACACTGGGGAAGATAAAATGAGTCACCGTGATAATAGCTGAAAGCCAAAATGGGGTATCCCTGATGAAGTGGAATTTATGTGCAGCAAGGCACTTGATTATTCTGATCTTTTTTTAACCTATTAGCCTACAAATGATCACTATTTGTACATGTTTAGTAAGTTTTATTTTGTGTAGTTTGACCATATTGGGGAAATACATTTCAGCCTATGGACTGCAAGGAAATTTTTCACTGTGTGTATTTGCTGTTCAGAATTGTTCAATCTACTTGAATTATGTGAGTTTATTTTTGCTCCCTGAATAGAGGTTTTAAGTCTTTTTATAAGCAGGTATGTCTAAATAGGAAGCTATGGACTCTCTCTCGAGGGGTTTGCACTTCTCCATTAGTGAGGGGTTTGCACTTCCCCATTAGCGAGGTAGCAGATAAGCAGGTCTAGGGAATTTTGTAGGATATTTGATCCTCTCTTTTCCAGAACACTATATTGTAGCCACATATGTGAGCCTCAGATTGTAATTTACCTAGATTGCTTCCTGGCAAGGGCTACGAAGTTAAAATGTACAAAGTCTTAAGTGGCACACAGGATCTGGTCCAAGAGGTGAGCATAGCTGAACTGCTTGGTAATAGTGACCATAATATAATCAACTTAACATTCTTGTAAGGCAAAATTCCAAAGAAAACCATGACAGCAGTATGTAACTTCAAAAAGAGGAACTGCATAAAATGAAGCTAGTTAAACTGAAATTAAAAGAATCAGTTCTGAGTGAAATGCATGCACACTGCATGGAATCTTTAAAAAACAAAAACAAAAAACACACAGTAGAGGCTCAAACTATATGTAAAGCCCAAATAATAAAAAGGACCAAAACACCACCATATCTAAACAGAATAGAAGGTGGTTTATAAACAAAATACGTCTTTTTAAAATTGAAGATTTAAATTTTTTTAAACCTTTTAAAAATTAAAATCCTACTGAGGAAGATAGAAAGGAGCAAGAGCTAAAAACACCAACAGGAAAAAAATGCAAGTACATCAAAAGCCTGAAGGCCATACATTATCCAGTGGCCTGACTAATGATTCAGGTACTAAATTAACGCATTGGCCTTCACTACCGAGAATTTAAGGGGGATTCCCACCTCTGAGCCATTCTTTTTAGGTAACAAATCTGAGGAACTTGCCAAGACTGAGGTATTGTCAAACATTTTGTGGGTTTTTTCTCACCTGTACTCTTCTAGGCCATAAGTATGCAAAGGCAAACAACCCCCCGCCCCAACTGTAGAAGTGTCAGTTTCAGCTGTGTATGAAACTGGTACAAAACTGAAATGTGGCAGCTGTGCATTATATATAGCAGACAAATTCTTGTACCACTTGCATCTATACAACCTTTACAGTACTCAAAAGGATTGTCAGTTTGGATTAATTAAACACACAATTCTCTTGAGTATAGAGGAGAACTCTTATATGGACTTTCAAATAATTGGGAGTGCATTATACCGATTCAGCAACAGGAAGCATTTTCTATATATTCTGTTGGTGGATTTTCAGGGCCAATCAAAGATAGCTGAGGCAGCAATGTTGTCAGTGCCCTCTACTGGCAGTTAGTCAGGTGGAATTTCCAAACTTTAATGATTTCATAGCCTGTCTTCCATGAGAAAATGAGATACAGTACTAGAGAATCTCACTAAGACTACCATCTACACAGCGCCTTTTTGTGCAAAAACCACCTCTTGCACAAGAGCCATTCTTCCTCATTCTTTCAGGAAGAATGGCTCTTGTGCAAGAGGGTTTTTCCTCAAAAAGGTGCTGTGTAAATGGCATCTTTTTGCGCAAAAACCTCTTCCACAAAAATGGCTCCTAATTAATTCTGCAAATGAAGTGCAGCAATATGCTAATCTGTACTTCATTTGCATAGGCTTTTGCAGAAGAGGGAAGCTGTGTAGAAGTAGTCTTATAAAATTACAACTCTAACTATAAAACTCACAGCCTACATTTTCTTTCCAATGCACAATTTCCTTTTAGTGAACGAAAGTTGTACCTGAGCTTGGCCCAAAGGATTAGCCGTAGAGTGCATGGTTAGACCTAAGAAGAAGACTTGAAGGCTTTTTTCTCTGATCCATGCAAATTCTGGTTTAGAGTTTTTCTTGTCAATTTATAAGACAGGCTTTGTATTTGCAGAGTACGTGCATTTTATTATATGGTAAGTAATTTTTGTTTTTGTTTTTTATAATTTTAGCTTAGTCCCCATATTCTTCATGTAGGAGTGTTATGTGCTGGTTTTTAGACTACATTACACATAGCAATCTGGCACGTCAAACTGACAAAATGTCATTTCCCCCTTGAAGTTCTCAAGTGGAGAACATTTATCTTTAGCAAAGAAAAAAAAGTTATTTCCTACTGTGTGATCCCCAGCTGTTTACAGACACTTTAAACATAAATTGCACATTCTGTGCTTGCCACAATAGTCTCTCTTGAAATCTATACTTTTTGTAACATTTGTTACTCTTCTAAGTATAATTAGAGAGGTGTTGTAGGTCATGTTTCCCTGTTGCTTGGTATGGCTGATGGGTTAATCCAGACTGTATTATAATACTACAATCTGGATTAACCCAAATGCATTGCTGCACACTGCAATGGATTATGCTATAACATGGAATACATAACACTCTCCCCCTTTTAATTCTCACTAATTAAATTCTCATTGCATTAATCTTGGGTTTCTTCCTTTTTATGTCAACTTGTTCCTTTGCTTGCCTTTCCCAGTACTAGGCAAATGCCCAGACACTGATTAATAGTTAAGATAACACTTGGCCTATGTCTACACTGGTGGGTTATTGCACCAGAAGTATGCAAATGAGGCTAAGCGTGGAATATCACTGAGCCTCATTTGCATACCTAATGAGCTGCCATTTTTGCGGAAGAGGCTCTTGTGCTAGAAGGAGTTGTCTACACTGCCCCTTCTTGTGCCAGAAAAACCCTCTTGCACAATGCTGTTATTCCTGAAAATAATCAGCATAGCAGCATTACGCAATGGAGTTTTTCTTGGACAAAAAGGGGCAGTGTAGACAGCTCTTTCTAGCACAAGAGCCTCTTCCGCAAAAATGGCAGCTCATTAGGTATGCAAATGAGGCTCAGTGATATTCCACGCTTAGCCTCATTTGCATACTTCTGGCGCAACAACCTGCCAGTGTAGACATAGCCTTGGTGTGTATCAGAGAGGAAAAAGTACAGGTTGAACCTCTCTAGTCCAGGACCTGACCAGAACCAAACCAGAGAATTTGCTGAACCATGGGAGGTCAATATTGTCTAGCAGCATTACCAACACTTCCACTGCTTACTGGCTTCTTGGAAGACATTTAGGATAAATTAGAGCTAAATAAAAGCACAGAACACTGAGCAAGAACTGGTGACCATAAATGTTATGAGACCATGGGAAACCTAGCCAAACCCATGATTAGTAAACATCCAGCTAATTAAAATCATGCCAGAATATGAATGTTGCTGGACCAGAGAGTGCTGGATTAATGGTTTAACCTGTAACTCTAGGCTACCTTTCCACTCCCTGTTGCCATTGGGAATCCAAAGAACATGTAGCACAGGTGCCAGATACTGCTCCAAGTCACACTGACTGGTATTCCATACCAGTTGAGGCTTGAGAATTCTTCTCCTGGTACATTTCCTCTCTGTTCCCTGCTCTGGAGGTGGAAGCAAGGCTTATCAAACTGAGGGTCTGAGCCATGCTGTGTAATCATTTGTACAAACACAACTGTAGCAAAGGAGTATTTGCTCAGGTCTCCAAAGGAAGTGAGTGTATGTTTTATTTTGTCTCAGTGTGTGTACTCTCCTTAATGGGCATCTCAAGGCCTGTATTTTTTTTTTTAAGTTTGCATGTACGATACCAAATCAAGATCAAGTATTCATCACAGAGCTCCCAGTCCTGAAGTTAATCCTGTAGTCCATGGCACCAAAGCCCCTCATCTCCTTAGAAGTACAGAGCTAATTTTAAACCCTGTCCGCAAATGCAGTAAGAGGGCAGTCATGCCACTGACCCTCATTTTAACTTTGGATCATTAGTTACAGCACTATGGGGTCACTTCTTCCTTCAGTTACAGGGACACAATCATTATTGGGAATTGTACTGTATAAGGCTATGTCTGGACTACATTCCTCTTTCGAAAGAGGAATGTAAATGAGGCAAACCGAAAGTTCAAATGACGCATGGATTTAACTATCCCATGCTTCATTTGCATATTCACGTCCAAGCGCTTTTTCAAAAGTGAAAGTGCAGTCTAGAGATGGTTCTTTTTTTAAAAAAACAAACCATCACCACCCTCATTTTTTCAGGAGTACGAGTTCTTTCAAAAAGGTATTTTTTTAAAAATTGCAGACTGCGCTTTCACTTTCGGAAAAACCCTTTTTCAAAAAAGCATTCGACGTGAATATGCAAATGAAGCATGGGATAGTTAAATCCATGCGTCATTTGAACTTTCGGTTTGCCTCATTTACATTCCTCTTTCGAAAGAGGAATGTAGTATAGATGTGTCCAATAGGTGGGGTTTGTGGACTTGATTATGAAATTCCTTCCTCACCTGCTGCTGCTGGCTGCGGGAGAGTTTTGATATGCAAGGACTCAGGGCAAGATGCTGAGCACTGTGGCTCTGGTCCAACACTGCATTTAAGCTCATGCTTAACTTCAAACACGGGAGTATGCTCAACATGTGTTTCAGTGCTGGGCATTTACAGAATTGGGCCCAAATTTGCACCATACAACCATAAGCATGAAGGACAGGAGAGATTATTGATGAGGAGGTAAAGCAATAGTTGACATGATTACATTATATCAGAAGTCTTTGTGAAGACTGTTCATTAAATTTCCATAATTTCTGGATATCCCAGGACTCCCAAAAGTCTATTATTAATTTCTGAATTCTGTCATTGTTCTCTAATACCACAGAACACTCCACCTCTAACACCAAACAAGTAAACAGAAACAACAGACAGAATCAAATAAAGATTCACATTCATTACTTGGAACCAGGTTAGTGAAAAAAATTATAAATATTTTGGTTATTTAAACAAGATGAGTCTCTATTTGCTATTATCCATGTAAATAGTTCTAGTTATAATGATCAAATATATCTGTAAAAAGCTGAACTTACTGTATCAAGCCATTTTAAAACAGTGCATAGGTAATTATCTACAAATATACAGTACAAAAGCTCTAATTATGATTAAACCCTTTTGCTGAAATGTAGACATAGATATGTCATCTATTTCATGAACTTCCATAGAAAAGGCTACTTAGTGCTTATGCAGGGCTGAGTTTCATCTGGAGGTCATAGACTGAGTCTACACTAGTCTTTAGGAGAAATCTTGCTCCACTTCATTATCTTTGCCATTGCTCAACCAATCATAACAATAGTTACAGTGCTAGGTGAAACAGATGACTGGTATCTTTAACAGCCAGGAAACCTAGCTCAGAGTAGGTTGAGATAGTAAAAGGACAGAGACCATTATACTAACCCATGTGCCATTCATGCAGATGGGGCAAGAATGGGAATTTCCCAAAGTTTAGAGTAGGCAGGAGTTAAGAGATCAGCACAAATGTTAATTAGTTATACCTAGAACTCCTTCTCACAGTCTGTCCTTTTTCTGTACTTCTGGGTGTGGGCCAAAAGGACCTTTAAAATCAGGCATACATATGGGATAGTAAAGAACTGAGAGGTGGCATAGCTCTCTAATTCTCTGCCTGCCCCCTGGGGCTGCTCCAATATGTGCCATCTGCCAAACTGTACATGCTCTCCATCCTGATGGCGTTCTGCCCACTCCCAAGAGGAGGCTGTGTCCCCCCTCATGGCAGTTGTAGTGAGCTAGCTAAACTAAGAGTGCACTACAAGAGCTGCAGATGACACCTTCGTTTACAGTGTAGCTGTAGCAGATGAGGTGTGTCTAGACTATATGGCTCCGTCGATGGAGCCATGCAAAATAGTTTACCCGACATAGTCAATGAAGTGGGGATTTAAATAATCCCTGCTTCACTTTAAAATAAAAATGGCCGCCGTGCTGTGCTGACAATCAGCTGATCCGGCACAGCGTGGCAGTCTAGACGCGGATCGGTCGACAAGGGAAGCCTTTGTTGACTGCTCCTGTAAAACTCATTTCATGAGGCATAAGGGATCAGCTGATTGTCAGCACAGTGTGGCGGCCAATTAATGAAACAGGGTTTATTTAATGTAGTCATGTAGTCTAGACACACCCAGGGAGAATACAGTAAATCTCAACACCATTTACACCACCTGAGCAACAACAATGCAGGGCAGAAAATCCACCCCATTGCCTTTTTGCCACTTGATGAGGCATCATTTAACTTTGTCTTGCTTTTGGTCCCTCTCCCCTCCAATTGCCCTCTCCCAGTTTCATATGTTTTAAAGTGAATGTATTGTGATTGTCAGTGATTATATTAAAGGATTACAACTATCCTTCTTGTTTTCATTTACATACCAAATAAGCTCAGCACTTCCTGCAATAAGTGCTACTGTCAGAGAACAAAGTACTACAAAGAAAAGGCGGCTGAAAGTAGAACAATAGCACCAGCTGCATTGTGCTTTTGGTTACTTTTATGCAATAGATCCTTGATGAATGTCTATAGAACAATGCTGATTCCCCAATAAGGATGATATCCTATAGTAAAGAAAGGAGAGGGTTGAATCATCAGCTGCTGTAAAGACTTTGCAAAAACTTTTTCTCCTTTTAATTCTGCCCTATACTCAGTTGGCAATGTGGAGTAGAGAGGCTGAGTCCCTAGCAAATAACTTTAGCACGCCACTTTGATCTCTGTAGCAAAAATGGCAGTTGGGACCCTTAAACACTTAACACAGTGGTTTCTGTAAAACAAGGTGTAGTGTAGATAAAACAGACTCAAGTACTGGGATTTTGCTGTGTGTGTGTGTGTGTGTGTGTATGCATATCTTCATTTTTTTGCCTTCTGATCAGAGAAGGACTAAAATATCAGTTTCACTGCCATGAAAAATGTGTCATGGACCATGATTTCCCCCTTGCTGCAGGGAGCATCTCAGTCAGGGGCTCCAAGTTGAGAGTCCCTGCTGGCCTGAGGAGGACTTGTCCTTCCCTTGACATTACAGCTGTGGGGGGAAGAAGAGAGGGAGGAGATGAGACCCACTTCTGGGTACCTTTCAGTTGGGGGCCACCATGAAATCTCACATGTGTATAGATGAAAATGTGAAACTGACCAATTAAAAAACCCTCTGGCTGTGAAATTTGTCAATTTAGTAGGGCCTTACAAATAGGCCATATATAAGGGAGAATGGCTTGGTGAATGAAAGTTGCCGTGAATAAATGAGCTAGTGTTACAATCCAAGCAATGATACTTCAAAGAAAAATTGAAGTGGTCCTTTCGAGGAGATGTCCCATACAGATAGACAGTGGCTGGAGGAGTCTCTCCATCTGGAAGGTTAATCTACAGTTTCACACTGTGATGGTGTGCTGTTTGAAAAGAGAATTGTTCCTGTGATTTGTTAAACTACTCAGCTATCTGCAGACATGAAAATATTAAATCTGAACAAGTATATATAAATAAGATTTGCTGATACTCATGTTCCATTGAAACTGAAATATTTGTGCACTCTCTGTATGCTGACTTATGATGGGTTGTGAAGTAATAAGTAGAGAGCATCTTACAATGCATGTTTATTTGCTTCATTCAGATTATCATCTCTCACATTTTTATTTCAACCAAATGCTTAGTTTCATAAATATTTTATTCTTAAATAAGAAGAGGAACATAAAATTGTTGTTGAAATGCCCTTAAACCATTAAACAAGCTGTATACTTTAAGATCCAATTATTTTTCCAAGTGTGTGACTGTGTCTATTTTCGCGCTTGGGATTGTTACTGATTGTTGCAATATTTTCCGTAATATAAGTAATAACTCCAGTTGGATTGTATCTTGACAAAATTGGCATTATGATGATTATTGGTCAGTATAACCTAAATGACAGGGCATTAACACTAAAATGCAAACTAAGGACTGTCCAAAAAATTGTTTAGGATTTTAAAAAGACCTTGCAATAAATCTGTGAATTTCTCTATTACATTCTAGTAGCTAAAATCTAAATAGCTTAAGGACCTGACTGCATTACCTTCAGAAAATGAGATTGTTACATTAGAGGCAGTCTCACTTTTTATAAATTTTTCATAATATCTACAGAAATTTTGAATACTAGGAGGCTTAGTTATCTTGGTTCCATCAATTTACTGTCATTGAGAAATGAAGGAATTAAGGAGCTCCTTACAGGTCTAAGTCAGTTTTTATTTTCACCTTACAAAGGAATGCTTATGACAATGATTTAGAATTACAACACTGATGTGTTTATGTATTGTTCCAGGAAAAAAGTGTAGGAATACCCTTTGAGAGATGAGAACTAAATGGATATTAACTCAGTTCTAATACTTTCTATTCTGCCAGAATGGAAACCTAACTCCATATTTATTCTGTTTTTATCTTTTTCAGGCCTTTGTAATGCCAGTTAACTTAGTACAAGAAGTGATATCTTCTACTTTCCCAAATAATCCCAAAAGTCAGTGTTCTCCCTTCATTTAGAAAGCTATCCAGATTTGCTCAGGTTTCAGATTTATGCTTGTTATAAATGCTCTGAGTTTGTTAATTTAAAAATAAATTCATTTATTACAACTCTCTATAATACTGTGTTGCTACATGTTGTAAGTATTTGATATCTGATCCTTTCAGTTTAACTGAAGAAATGTCTTGCTCTTTTTATCCACCAGTAGGGGCTCGAAAGTGTCCAAAAACCTGCTAGACAAAACCAAAATATCTTGATTATGAATTCTGATTTAACGAGTGTGCATTCCAAGGATGATTCATAAATACATTTCAATTATTCCTCAGACAACTCATGCTTCCTTTTTGTCAAGAATGTCAATCAATGGCAGCTGATTGAGTATTCTACTGCTAGTAGCCTTTTGTTTAATGAGCATGTTCCGTTTTGGCCTGTAGAAATAACACCCAGGTACCACTAAAATATATTATATGGGGGTATAAAAAAGTTTTTATATTTGACACTGAGTAGATTGTGGGCCAAAAACCTTTCCCCTCCCACCCTCCCAAATGTTGTGGGTCATATACAAGTCAAAGAACCTATACCAAATTCTTTACTGATTCCACTTGTGAAATTGTATTGTTGCCTCTTAGGGTACTCATTAAATGAAAACACAATTTGGACCATTGTTGTCATTGCCATCTTCAGTAAGTCGCATCACCACATGACTTCTAGTATGCTGCTTTAAGCAGCTTTTCTTTAGAACACTGAACAGGATTTTTTTCACTGTGCAAGAGTTGTTCTGCATTCTAATTGTGGCACGCAAAGGAAAAGAGAAATGCTTAATTCTGTCAAGGGACTTAAAAGGGTCATGCTAGTGGCCTTTTCATGTTTAATCTCTGAACACCATTGTATGGGTTTTTTCTAATAAAGAAGAGGTATGATGAAAATAAAGGAGATGACTAATGGTTAGAAATACTCTGGTCTTACATACCTTACGCCTCCCACTTTATGTAGGAAGAAAATGGATAGTACTAACCACTTGCATATGTGAATTACATACACAATTATGCAACATGAATGTGTATTTTCTAGTTTATAGTGGCTTCACTGGTTGAGAACATAGTACTCCTTTGAGATGGAACATGGTTCTATAGACAGAAAATGGGACTGGGAGTCAAGAAGTTCTGTTCTCTACTCAGCTCTACTACTGACTTTCTGTATAACCTTGGGCAAGTCCATATGCACTTGTCACACTTTGCATTGTTCACTTTCATGCTTGCATATAATTGTTTAGTGACAATTGGTGACACATAACTGTTTGATTACAATTGTATCTGTAAGTAAAATCATCTCAATGCAAAACACCTCTTTTTCTTCTTCCTTGGTCTCTTTTCTTATTGACAGTGTAGAGAGTAAAATAGCCTCTGTCCTGATGAGGTTACAATGTTCATTAAACAGAATAAAGACAGGGGCCTTTATCTGGTCCATATAGGTATTGATTACAGGCTCCATAATTTCTGGATCCATAAGATGGTGTGGTAGTGATATGTTGTCATGTGCCAAAGAAAAAGCCTAAGATACACCATACAGATAACTCCAACAGCAAATTGCAAGATCAGTGGGGCCATAATTAATATACTCCAAGATACCCTTTTTCAAATACATTGGTAGATAAGTGGATAAACAGCTAAAAGAGGGTTGAAGGAGAGAAGGAGAAGGCATCACCATTTAGTCAATAAAATCGAGAAAACCACACTTGTGAAACAGGATCCTTGACTGGAGGAAAACAAATATTTTGCACTGTAGGTAAGAGAGGAAGCAATGTGGACTTTTCTTTTAACTCACTCGGATGGGATACATTGTGAATTGCATTGAGTTTATTTGGGAATCTTATGTCTCAGCCCTTCATAGGTAAGGATGTCTGAAACAATATGAATAATGTTTGAAGTACCTTTTATGCATTAAGTTAAACACAAGTCAATGCATAAAATGCATGTGAAAAAAATAGTGATTTTTGTATTAAGATGGTAGGTAAGGAGAAATAATATATTGGAATTTGTTAGCTAGTTTGTTGGGTGCTTATGCCATATCATACTAAACACAAATGAGTTTAAGGCTAACTATTGCCATAGTTCTCTCTCATTTTTTTTTCACTCTAGTTAAGAAGTAGCATTGTAGCTAGCCTGTCAGGAGCTGCTATGCTGAATGGAATTCTATGTTAGGACTCATCAGGGTGCCTCTTGCACTGTATAATGTGCAGAATAGGATTTTTTCACATCAGCAGTCTATCCATACCAAACACAAAAAAGAGAGAACAAATATTGCTGACTAGAATTTAGCAAGGGAGGGAATGAAGGAATATGTATGAGATCATATCTGAAAGCTTTTTTTTTTCTTCCACGTAGTCAAGAGATACTGCTGTGATGTAGACTATCCAAGATAAGCATTTCATTTTAGGGGTAAATCACCCTTCACAACAGACACAAATATTAGAAAGGCTGAAATGGATGGCATGTCTACTCCCTAACAGAATTGCGACTGAGCTTTGATCAGTTACCCTCACGTTTTTGTAATATATGGGCACTAAGGATGGGAAAGTAATAAAGCTATGAAATGTTTTGGTATACAAACACCCACTGATGTGGATAGAGCAGTACAATGAGGACAGACACATATACAAGGAATTAAGTGGCAGGCCACACTCTTATTAAACACCAGTAAGGGGCACTAACTGCTTATCACCCATACTCCTTTATCAGGCATTTATTCCAGTACTTGAGATATAGGGATCCTTATCATATGATACCTAACTAGGGGTAAGCTCTCTTTTGCATATCTCTAGGACTCTACTTCCTGAATTTTAGTTCCTTCACCTCTCTCCATTTGTGAGGCTGACAAAGGGTGCAGAAGGCTGGGAACCTCAGCCTGAGGCCATGTCTTCACTAGACAAAAAATTGATGCTTCCATGATCAATCTTCTGGAATTCGATTAAGCAAGTCTAGTTAAGACTCTCTAAATCAAATTCAGAGGGAACACCACCAGTGGCCATTACTCCTGCTTGTGCAAGAAGTAAGGGAAGCAGATGGGAGCGTTTGCTCCCATTGGCCTCCCACTGTAGGGACAGCGTCAAGCTCAGCTTAAGGTAAGCCAATTCTAGCTACATATACTACGTTGCTGGAGTTCCATACCTTAAGCTGAATTTCCAGGTCTTGTGTAGACCTGGCCTAGGAGGTCCCCAAGATCTCCCCCACCCCATAATCCCAAGGCCCATCACTATAAATTACCAGGTCTTTCACCTCTAAATCCCATTCAGTTTATCCTCTCTAACCGCATTTGAAACCAGCCACAAGCTACAATGAATGAACAGTTCAAGCTAAATAGTTCAGATAGGTACTAAACATCTTCCTATTTCAAAAACCACTACCTTATAGCTACTGTGGGTTAAGTAAAAAAACTCCCTGGTCTTCTACCAATTGGCCAATGGGAGGAGAAAAATCCTTCCTGACCCCAAAATGAGGAAGCAGCTATACTTGCAGCATCCATCAGGCTGGATGCCCATTCCTAGTTTGGAATGAGTAGGGCAGACCTTCAGGAATGGAGCCATGAGAGGCTCTGCATTGCCCCCCTTCAGGTTAAATGCAAGAAGCTGGTGAAGGCCGGTCAGTCAGTCAGTCAGCATTCTCTTCCTTCACCTGGCCCCCAGGAGCCGGAGACTCTTGTGTGGGAAAGAACAAACTAATGTCCCTTTAGTGAGTGTCTCCTTCCCTTGCTGCTGGGATTATTGCCAGTCATTTCTGGCTACAAGTGGCATATGTGCTAGCTACAGGGGAGCCAACAGCTTTTCCGAGCCCATTGGTAAGGTGGGGAGAGGCCTCAGGCAGAAAGGCTGGGGCAGCCAAGCCTCAACACCACTGGGACCACAGTATTCCCCTATCCCCCATCCTTAGCTCTACCTGGAGCATACCCCTGTCTTGCTCTGCTTCCCCAGGAATTCCTAAGCACCTGGGAGGCCTCTGGCCATTTTGGAATGCTGGGCCCAGAGCTAACTGTCCCATTTGTCCTGGCCTACCTATCTAGTAATATGATCGGAGTATAATCTCAATAAGGGAAGTCAAACTTTATGGTAGAGTAGCATATTGTTCATGGTTGATTATATCTGTCCATTTATTATGACCTGTAAAGTTTCAGTTTCTTAACTTAGACTACAAAAGTATTTCTTAATACGGGCAAGTATCTATTAAGAGAGGGCCCAGTGACCTAGCATTTTTCTCTTTAGCTTCTATATTTGCTGACTTACTCTAATATATTACTAGTGATATTCAGACTTATTTCCAGAGTTGTAATGCTTGTCTGAATGTTAGCTGAATTATGTGAACTTCACTAACAGTGCAAAATTGAGTTAAAAATTTGACAGATTTTTTCCCCCCTATTCCACTCAGGGGAGAAATAGGAAAACTGAGTGGACATGAAATAATAAAAAGGAAGGGAGAAGGAGAGGAGATGGTAATCCATATATTTAAAAGAATCTTAAACAGTAGGAGGAGTTTCAAGTAAGTTCTGTCCCTACTGATTCAATCAGTTCTAATTCATATCCTATGGTTTTATATATACATCATTTGTAATTACTAGTGAGTTAGAACATAGTAAGATGTGCCTTAATCTTGTAATAAGAGTTGTGCGCTGATCCACGTGAACATATCTCATTGCAGGTTCAGGGCTATGAAGTTTAAATGTATTCCAAGTTTTTTTGGAATTACAGATAGCAGTCAAAAGCAACACTTGAGGGATTTCTGACCTTTGTTCTTTATGACATTTATGATTTATTGAAATAAATGAGTCTGATATAAGAAAAAAATCCCCTCTGTTTCGAATAACTATACATTATGAAGATTTGTGACATGCAAGTGAAATGAAAGCTGTATGTGCCCAAACTTGCAAAAGTTAAGAGCATCAAGCCTATTTATTGAGATTATGATGTTGCAGAACAGTCATGTTCAATTTGTCCAACTTTCCTTAAAGCATTATATGAAGTGTCATTTTTATTAAATGATAGGTGTGATTTTTTTGTAGGATTTCTTCACTTGCATCTTCTGATGTATGCATTTATGCACTGATGATAATTTTGTGATTCTTACTACAAGAATTGGCAATCAAGGTAACTGGCTAAGGAGCTTTGGGTTTGGTTTTGAACATTATAGGCCATTATAGGTGGGACAGTACTGTATTTTGGGAAATACACAATGAGATTTAGCCATTAGGCACAGTACCTCACAATTCTGTTGAATTCATTGGTATGTTTAATAGAGCTTGCTTTAGAATAGCTATAAAAATATGTATTTCCTTTGAGTGGAAAAAACATTTTTAAATGTACAGTAAGTTTTTACCATCTGCAGCAGCTATACCAGTCACATCTATAGAGCAAATATGAATGACAATCATATCTAAATGAAAAAGAAATTAACCTTAATACATTTGATATTTTATTGGTAAATGAACCACAAATATATCACACAATTAACTAACTTTGTCTTGCTGGCTTGTAATGAGCTTCTTAATAAAGTAAAATAATTACTAAGGGAATTGATATTACACTTTTGAAAAAACAGCAAAATCAATAAAAGACTCTTTTTCAGAATATAGACAGATTTTTTTCATTACATATAGTAGTCTGTTTGATTCTCACCAACCTGTTCCTCACCAACCTGTTCCTCCATTACATCTGAGAAATGAAAAATATACTTAAGTCAAATGCTGATAAGGGCATACACTAAATGGTGCATATATCATAGTGGTGCAGAAATAAGTCTAAGTAGCTCTTTTTAGTAAGCTAATTTTTACATGTAGGTTTTATTAGTAATGCGGTAAGTATGAAAAATTGATTATGGGAATAATATAATTATTTTGGGAAATATTATATAGAGCTTGTATATTGGCTATATACTACCAGTTAAACAGCTTCATGGTGGGTAAGGGAAAAGGAAAGAAAAGACACTAAAGTTTTTACTTAAGCAGCACTTGCTAGACAGAATCAATTGAAAATTGACTTCAAGCTCTGACTCAGACACACTTTAATTCATGTCTGAGTGCTTTAAAACCCTACTGACCAGTTTATAAATAATTAAAACACTTACCTTATGCTGTACCTGAGGTCTATCCATCATAATATCTATTTGACAATTCTCAGTTGAATTGACAAGGTGGAATACTTTGAGCTGGGTAAATTCCAAATGGCCTCACATCATTTGTGCTGCTATATAATGGAAAAAATGAAACTTTGTTTATATATCTATATCTATATCTATATCTATATCTATATCTATATCTATATCTATATCTCACACACACACACAAAATACACATCACCAATGACCACTGAATAATTGGTTTACTTAGCATGAGATGTGATACTAAATTAAGTGTGTCATAGGACATAAAATGTCCTAGATATTACTTTGGGACACTCATAGTTAACATTAACACTGGTTTTGGATTCATCATCTGAAATAAATATAATTAGAGTCTGATAGCAAACATGGCTTCCAGCTATACTTCTTTACAAAGAAAAAAATAGTATAATTGTCTGAAATCATATTTTGTGTCCAGTGCAGAATTCCTATCAAAGAATATCCTAGAATCACAGAATGTATATCTAGGGACCGCAGGAGGGCACTTAGTCCATCTCCCCATGCTAAGGTGGCACCAAATATACTGTTCCAGACAGGTGCCTGTCTAACCTTGTATCAAAAATCTCCAAGGATGAGGATTACCTCCCTTGCTGCCCTATTCCTATACTGAGCCTGGAACTACCCTTAGAGTTATGTAAGTACTGTGGCCTGAAGTCTTAGCAAGTAAAGATGCTTCTGTTGTCCCCACTGGTGAAAAGAGAAGAGTGGGCCAGAGCTGCTGGACAGCTGCAGAGGGAACATTCTTCTAGCACCTATTGGTGTGCAAAAGGAATTGATGGAATGACCCAAGGCATCATTTGCATTTTAGATCAGTGACAGTTTAAGATGCTTCAGTTAAAACATAATTGAATTTTTAATTTGGGGGCCAATAAAATACTGTTGACCATTGTTTGGAAAGACAGGACATTGACAACAAACTTCCCAGAGGTTACCCTGATAGATGTTGTCAGGCATAGTTGGGTAAAGGAGCCAGAAAAGAGCTAAGTGAAGAAAGAGGTGTATATCTTCTAGGGTCTCTCTGGAGGTGAAGACTCAGCTAAGGACCTTGATGCTTCAGAGTTCACTCAAAAGAGCTGATCTGAGACTGCTGCAAAACAGCAAATTGTGCCATCTGTCAATGCTCTTCTGTGCTGGCCATTGTCTCAAAGATAACCCCATTCTACACTAAGTGGCAATGGCTGATGCAGAGCTAGGCAACCTAAGCTGAAGCCACAGATAGCAGCACCTTACCTGCTGCAAGGCACCCTATCCAGCAATTAAAGCTGATATTATCCTAGCTGGCCCAGTTGTTGGAGTGCCCACAGCATCCTAGATAGCACTGGCCAATCAGCATCTTTGGACTTCTACAATGCAAATCAGTTGACACTCACAATAGTCCCAGACTCAGTACTACCTGGGAGTTCCTACTAGATATATATACTTGCAGTTTGACAGTGAGCCATTAATCACCACTGTTTGAGTAAGTTTTTTTTCAACCAGTTATGCACCCATTTTATGATGATTTCATGAACATGCTTGTCTTTCATACTTCCAAGTACTTAGCAAAAAACGCTAGAGTGTCAGTACAGTATGAAACAGCTTCCAGAGACCTTGGATTCCAAGGCACCCTGGGAAATGATTTCAAAAGATGTGTGATATTAAGGATAGATTCATGCAAGGATGTAAGGAGGAGTGTGCAAGAGTAGGCAATAAGTCAGGGAACACTAATGTTAAACTGAGCTTTGGCAAAGGCACCAAATATATAAACATAAGTTTCATATAGAGCCACATTTGACCACCCCAGGTTTGGCTGTATTAACTCCTAGAAGAATGGTAGGGTAAGCAAAATTAATTGTCAGCTACTACTTTACCTCTACCCATAAAATCACAGACATTAGACCTATCAGGTCACTTGGTTCCTTAATACTATGGGATCACATTCTATGGTATCTTCTCAAGAGTTATGGTCCATTTAGTTTTCAGTTGGTGGCCAATCCTCCATTTTCACCCAGGAGACACAGGTGGTCTTGTCAAGTGGAGTTGGGGTTTGGGCAGAGCTTTCTATCTATCACCGCAGAACTCTGAGAAGAGCAGCTGTGTAGGCACATTGTTGTATGTATGTTGTGTTATGTGTAGGGATGACACAGGATCTCTCTCCTGGGAGCAGAGACATCAAGGCTATGTCTAAACTATGGGGAAGATTCAAAAGAGGATATGCAAATTCCACAGGAATTTGCATATCTTCTTCCAAACTCACTTTTGAAAGCAGAGCTGTTTACGTGGCTTTTCAACGGGGTGGGGGGAGGGTGGAGTGTTTGCACCAAAAAAGCTATGCTGCATCTAAACTACTTTCACTTGCAATTGGAAGAAGATATGCAAATTCCAATGGAATTTGCATATCCTCTTTCGAATCTTCCCTGTAGTCTAGACATAGCTCAAGAATTAAATTGTGATTCTAGGTCACATTCTGCTTCCTGGACTGCTCTTGGTATGTCCTAGCAGTGCATGGAACACTTGTGGCAAAAACTTCCTTTCATGGAACTTGGGCAAAGCCACTGAATCCATGGATAGGTTGTATTATTTTCTCCAATATGTAGCAAAAAGTTACCTTTTCTTTATTTCTTTTCATTACTTCTACTTTGCCTTCCATTTCCCTTCTGTTGCTGTTTGCAGGCCAAGTATGTTTAACGGAAAAATACCATTCTCAATCTGAATATCTGTAAGTACTAGGGAGAAATATTTCAGTTTACAAAAGAGGAATAAGGGAATGATTCCATAAATAGCAACTGTAACACCATCTCTACCACAAACTGTTAGTGCTCCATTTATGAAAGCAATTAAGCATATGGATAGCTTAGCTTTAGTCATCAGCCCAGAATGGGACAGCACTATCAAGGCAGATTTAGTCTAAATCTATAACAGTAAAATTGGTCTAAGATGTAACCCTTTCATATGTTTGGAAATGAGTAGTTGTCTGAGGGTTGCCAGGCTTGGTAACATATGCTAGTTAGTACTGTTATTAGAATGATCCCTGAGTAACAGACCTCCTCAGGGCCACTGATTTGGGCAGAGGCAAAGGGTTAGCTACCCCAGGAGCTTCTGGCTGCTGCTACCACTACAGAGCTCCCAGGCCCTTCAAATTGCTGCTGAGGCCCCACACAGTGCGAGTCCTAGGCCCCAGAAATGCTGAAGGTCCCAGCCCCTTTTGGGGGGCCTGGAGTTGGCTCCCCCCAGGGACCGTAGAAGTCTCGCCTCAGCCCTGGATCTTCTATGCAAGATACAACATGCCTCAAGTTTTGTGAGGCGGGTGGGGAGAAGGGAAGGGGAGGTAGCACTATGTTTCTGACTGAATTCCCCCTTGGAAGGTGAAAAAGGAAAGGAAGGGAATATTAATTTTACAGGACTGGAACAAATTCTTCATCAGTGGTGCACCCAGTAAATGTTGAATGGAAGGATTCAAATATGAGTGCATACAGTATATTAATACATGTAGACTGCGTCTAGACTGGCATGATTTTGTGCAAATACTTTTAACCTAAAAGTTTTTCCGTTAAAAGTATTTGTGCAAAAGCGCGTCTAGATTGGTCACGGAGTTATTGTTATAACGATGCGCTTTTGCGCAAAAGCAGAAGCCTGGAACCATTTTGCCGAGGGCAAAAGGGCACCAGTCATTTCCGGGGGCGGAGGCTGGAGCTCCTTTGAGACATGTGCTTAAAGGAATTTCCCTGGACAGCCGTTTCACTCTTGCTGCGTGCTATAGGACCTCTTGTAGGGACTGACAGCCCTAGCAGTTTTGGTAGTTGCCCTCTGCCTTTTGGACACCACTGCCCTTTGCCACCTAGTGCTTTTGCCTGTTTTTTTTTCTTCTGCCTTGTTTTGTCTGCCATGGAGCCAGGGATGGCCATGTGCCTGCTCTGGCCCCTGCCAGCCATTTTGGAGTGCCTGCAGCTGGTGCTCCAGGCTGGTGCCTTCCTGTTCCAGAATGGCATGGCCAATGTGGACGATTAGGGTGGTGATAGAATCCGCCATGCGGATGCACTGGGCCTGGAAGTCGGCCCAGGCCTTCTGGCGCCACTGCAGGTCCGTCTCCACACGCCAAGTGATGGCTGCTTCGACGCGCTCGACGGCCTGCATGTGGTGCTGAAGGAGCTGGTCCCGGTGGCGGAGCCACTGCCTCAGTGGTTGGGCGGCTGGGGGTGCTGCTGCTGTTGCTGCTGCTGCAGGACTTGAGAGTCCCTGGCTAGTGCTTGGTCCTGCTGCAGGGAAGAGAAGAAAGGATGGGTGAGTCAGGCAGCCCAGCCACTGTCCCCACACCTCATGCCCTCCCCCCCTGAGCCCAGGTGACACCACAATAGTGTGGCTTGGGCCCACTCGGTTAGCCCCCTCCCCTCCGTGTTGTATGTTTGCATACAAGAGCGCCTCTGGAGTAGGGTCCTCCCAACTCCTTGCCAGTGGAGGAAGTGAGGCTTTGGGCTAATCAGTGGTGTTTGACAGGGAGCAAGATGAATTCCCACACAGTGCCTGGGAGCACATATGGCAGACGTTGTCTGGGCTCTCAGATCCCCATCATGTGGGATGTCTCCTGGACAGAACCAGGGGTGACTGGGGAGTGTCCCATCCTTGCAGCAAAACTCAGGCGGCCTTAGGGCCGGCACGAGCAATTCCCCGCCTCCTCCTCCCATTGTCCCTGGGCTACGTGTGTGAGGGCTATGTGTGGCCGCAGTGGAGACTTCTCTCGGGGAGCCAGCCAAGGCACTGGGAACTGGAGAGGGGCTCAGTGGGAGCCATGCTCACAGGGCTATGATGCTGCGGTTTTCCCAGGAGCAGCTGGGCGTGGCTCACAGCCAGGCATGGGACAGTGTGCTGTTCTCCATGCTGCACCCTTGCAGAGGTGCGGGCTCTGGCCTGAGTCCCTGGGACCCTGGCTGGTTCCAGCCGGCATCCACCCTTCCCCCCTGGCCCCGCCGGATGTGTGTGAGCAGCACAGTCCCA